ATGCCGAAAGGACGGCTAGTCGAGGTATGTATCTAGAAGGTGCAGTTGTTCTATGCTAACCTTAATTTGATGGGAAGGAAAGAAAATAGGAACAAAAGAAAGGTATATAACTTAGGTGAGGAAAATGGAGATAAAGGAGATGACCTTTCTCTTATAGTGTTTGGTATGGATTCCCTCCTCTATTCCTTCATTATTGGGAGAGATTAAAATTGGCTCTTTGAATCCCTCACCTAATCTATTCCCTCTTTCCAAACAACTGCAAGTCCCAAAATCCTTCGACTAATCTTCTCACCCCGATCCTTCCTTCCACTTTTCCCTCCTACCAAACAAGCTCCTAGTCCCTGACTCATTTTTGCATTTAACCATCCGTGGGAATGCTCAAATTTTACGCTTGACGAACGAATTTAGTTGTCAAGTAATGCTGGGAACGTTAGCAAGTAGGGAGAAAAGTAAGGAAACATTTGCGTCCTAAAATAATTGGTCAAAATTTCAAAAGATTATGTGATTCTAATTCTATTTGGTTGTGTGAAAACGTTAGCAAGTAGTTGGTCACCAATTTCAAAATAAATAAATTGAAGTAATTGTCCTTTTATTTACTGTGTTAATAGAGTTATAAATAAATTGAAGTTGCAAAATAAATTTCTCCTTAATCATTACATAGATTCCTGAATTCATCCTAGTCAAGCTTGAATCAAAATTCAATAACTGTTCCATGCCAATCAATCGTATTTGCACCTTCGCTCTAATCAGTTTACGTATTCGACATGGAATTTTTGTTTTGAGCAGGATAAATTTGTGGTTCATTTGGAGTTCATCCTGTTCTGTCTTACAGAAGAGAATTTTGAGGATGCTCATCAGGCTGCTCTAAGGTATGATTCTCATTCCTCTTTTAGAGGGTAGTTCCACGATGTTGAAGCAAGTTCTTCATCTTCTTCTTTTAGCCCTTTGTTACTGTGTTGTTCAGTTGATTTTATTCCTTTCTTTTGTGTTCTTATGCGTGGAATGTAATTTTTCAACAACAAATCATATCAAAATAATGGATTCTTGTTATGTTTTTGGTATTTTTCAGCCTCATTCAAGAAAATGAATTTGTTAGAGACCCAGTCTCATGTATGGTTGTAGGACTTACATTCTACCAGTTTTGGTATTCCAATGTCCCAAAAGAAATGCTGTTGACAGACTCAGAAGAAGTTGCTGTCCCTCGGCAAACAAATGATAACACTAACTCTCAAGAAGCCGTTACAGACTATCCCCATAATTCAGACTCCTCTATCAAGGAGCAAATATCATCTACGGGGTCTGATGGCAGATTACACAGAGAAAATTCTGTGAGAGTTATTAATAGGATGATCGAGATAGAAAACCCTCCACAGAACTTTCAGCCCCAAGGATTCTATGCTAATTCTAATGAAGATACAGGAAATAATCTGTCTCTATCTAATCACGGTGTTCAATTTCAGTACCCTCTAAATTTCTCAGCTCTTGGTGAGTATAGAATTTCCTTGCCATTTTTATTCCCTGAGAAGTATTATTGTATTTTAGACTTTCATATGGTTGATTTCTGTCTACAAGGTTTTTTTCTTTTCCTTTTATTTATTCATTTACTTGGCACAAATTCAATGACTTATTTGGCAGAAATTAATTTAAAGAGAACGAAAGAACAAAAACTCCTACTTATTATATGAATTTGAGCTTGAAGGAAATGTGGCCTAGTTCTCTAAATAAGTCATGTAGATGTGTAGTTGTGATGTTTAGGTGATCACAACAATTATTATTTTTCAGTTGTTTTTTGCAAGGTCTCCTTGCCCTTCTTTATTTGTGCATTCTATTTTTTCCTTTTTTATTAATGAATTTCATGTTTGTTTCTTACCCAAAAAGGAAAAAAAAA